CCTAGAGGCCTAGTTTGTATGGTTGTGATGATGAGTCTCCCTCTCCGTACTAAGTCCTCCGGTTTATATAGACACTGAGAGGATCTAGGGTTACACACGGTCGGTTACAAAGAAAGGAATCTACATATTCGGTCGCCAAGCTTGCCTTCCACGCCAAGTAGAGTCTTGTCCAGACACGGGTGCAATCTTCGGTCTTCGTATCTTCACAGCCCATCAGTCTGGCCCATGGCCAACAGGCTGGACGCCCGAGGACCCCTTAGTCCAGGACTCCCTCACCGACCACAAACCAGATTATCTCATAATCCTTGTCGCATGGCCATGCTTATCCTGGTCGGATCACACTAGGGGCCCAAAGTATATCTCTCCTGATCAGAGGGACAAATCCCATCTTGCTCGACCATGTCTCGCAGCATGGGTCTGGAAAAGCCCGAAACCTACCTTTGTAACTACCCAGTCATGGAGTAGCGTTTGGTTGGCCCAAAGCAAGTCTGTCACCATCCCGAGTACATGGGCCAGCTCAGGTCTTAGGACATAGAACGTATGTTGTACTAGAGACTCACATATGACATATCGCTGCGTCTCATAGTTGGGTCTATCCGACTCAGACCTTATCTTGATTCGGATCCGACTACGTCGAATCCGACCAGATCCTTCCAAGTCCATATTATCCGGTTAGCATCCAATGCCCCATGGCTAGTGAGACCAAGCCATCGACCGTGTCATATGCTAGTCTAGTCGGCTGCGCATCCACACAACCCTTTCGACCAGGGACCTTTTAGGACAGTCATTAGTAATCTTTCTTCTCTTTAATCGCCTTCTGGACATCATCATTCCACCACCAGGTATCCTTATCTTCGCTTCTCCTTCCCCTGGACACTCCAAACTCCTCCAAGGCCACCTTACAAATGCAATTCGCCATCTTCATCCACACATTGCCCGCATCCCCTCTTTCCTCCCAAGGGCCCTCCTTAATGACCCTCTCCTTGAACACATGAGCTACCTCCCCCTTGAGATTCCACCACTTCGTTCTAAAGCGGAAGTCAGCAACCACCAGCTTATGCTGGGTCACAACACTCTCTCCAGGTATCACCTTACAGTCGAGGCACGCACGCCTATCTTCTCCTCTCGAGAGGATGAAATCAATCTGGCTAGAGTGTTGGCCACTACTAAAAGTCACTAGATGTGATTCTCTCTTTCTAAAGAGGGTGTTAGCTACAATCATGTTGTAGGCTAGAGAAAAGCTTAAGACATCTTCTCCTTCTTGATTCCTAATGCCATAGCCAAAGCCCCCATGTCCCCCTTCAAAACCTGTGTTAGATGTACCCACGTGGCCATTGAGGTATCCTCCTATGAAGAGCTTCTCACCAATCGGTACATTCCTAACCATGTCTTCCAGGCCTTCCCAGAACTCCCTCTTCGTGTTCTCATTGTGGCCTACTTGCGGGGCATACACGCTGATAACATTGAGAACCAAGTAACTACTAGCTTGGCCAGGATAATACGGTCCCCACGTCTCTTGACGTCTACCACTCCATACTTGAGGCTCTTGTTGATCAAGATGCCTATGTCATTTCTATTTGCAGCCGTCCGCGTGTACCACAGCTTGAAGCCGGTATTCTCCACCTCCTTCGCCTTCTGTCCTCTCCATTTGGTTTCTTGGACGCAAAGGATATCAACACCTCTCCTCACCGCTGCATCAACTAGCTCCCGAAGCTTCCCTATCAGAGACCCTATGTTCCAGCTACCTAAGCGAATCCTCCTAGGCTCGGCTAGCTTCTTTATCCTTTGCACTCGTCGAGTCAAATGCGAAGACCCTTGCTCATTTTCCACTACATCCGGGTGCCGATGTAGCGTGCCACTAAGGATGCGACGACCCGATCCTCGCTCACTTGCCACCGTATCCGGATCAAGATATGACGCGCCACTTGGGGGGTGACGGCCCGGCCCTTGCCCATTTTCCACCACACCCGGGTTCCAATGTGGCGCGTGCTGAGAGGGTTACGCCCCAACGAAAATCTTTTGGGTTTCATCTCCATAAAAGTGGCTGAGTTTTTATGTTGGCTCGCCAAGCCTATCACAACCCTCCTCCTTTACCCGGGCTTGGGACCGGCTATGTTGAGACAACATAGGCAGAGTTGATTGGAAATTTCTCTCGCAAAACTAAGAGGTGCGATGGCGGCGGCAGTTATGATGAGTAATGGAACCCGACTCCTAGTTGGGAGGCGTATGAAAAAAAAGTAATTAACTGGTTTTTATAAGAAGAAACACAGTTAAGTGCTGACACATGTACAATGGGATATCTTCTAGGGCGTGTTTGGTTGCCCGCACCGAGCCCAACCAAGCCCACGCGGGAAGGGAGAGGCCTGTTTGGTTGCCTGGTTTTCCTATTGGGCCTACATCGCATGCTTCTCAAAGCAGCCCAGAGCCTGGCTCGCTGGAAACCCTCAGATCGGTAGTTTCTCGTGAGCCAGGCTGAGTGCGGCGCGAGGTCGCTGGGCGGGAGCGAGGCGCGGGCGAGGGGGATGGAGGGAGATGGAAATCTGGCGCGACGTCCTGGCGCCAAATTAGCCTCACCTCCCTTTCACTATCTCACCCATAGCCACTGTCCCCCTTTCTTCTCCACTGCCTCACCACCGACGGCGGCTGCGATTTCAGATCTGCGCTATAGGCGGCGTCGGCGAAAGAGGCGGCGGCGTTTGCGACTGATCTGGTGCTCCCCTTGCTATTGGCCACCGTCTGGTCGACCTACTCTGTGCCATGGCTCCCCCTACGCCGTCCTCGTCTCCGATGCCGGTAAGCAGCACCCCCTCCCCCTTTGTTAGCTCAGTGGTTAGGCCTTTAAGCTAGGTGTAGGATCGATTTCCCACTAAACGGACCGTCGATGTCGACTAGGTTATGGACGCACGGATGAGGCTGATAATCCAGACAACAGCACTGATTAGTGTGATTCAGGCATGGGTCATGTTCATGCACCAGAGAGTTGTCCGTCGTGCTGGGAGACCGTTGATCCGCTATGGTCCATTGTTTCCCCGGGAACAGGAGAGGATCCAAAATATGAACTACATCTACAACTGTAATGACGTCGAGGCTCTGTGGATGCTTAGAATGAAAAGAGCACCATTTTCCAGGCTTGTTGAGACCTTCAGGAGCAGGGGCCTGTTACAAGATAGCATCAACACCAGTGTCGAAGAGCAAGTGGCCACGTTCCTCCATGTTGTTGGCCATAACCAGAGGTTCAGGGTCATTCACAACACGTTCAGGAGGTCAATGGAGACCATCTCTAGGTAATTCAAGCAGGTGCTTTTTGTTGTTGGGGAGCTTAGAGGAGAGATGATCAGGAGACCATCTGGCCAGACTCCACCAAAGATTCGCGGAAGCCCAAGATGGTATCCATACTTCAAGGTGAGCATTGACAATATACACTTTTCATGGCTTGATATGCTTGTATTGTGCAAGTTCAGCACTAACACAGGCTAGTGATGCCATTTTCAGGACTGCATTGGGGCAATAGATGGTACTCATGTCATTGCCAGAGTTCCTAGGTCACAGTCTGCAGCATACAGGGGGAGGAAGCACTACACAAGCCAGAATGTGCTTGCTGCTGTTGACTTTGATCTGAGGTTCACATATGTGCTGGCTGGCTGGGAGGGGTCAGCGCATGATGCAAACATTCTCACTGACAGCATGAGTTGACCTGATGGGATCAACATCCCCGACGGCAAGTTCTACCTTGGAGATGCTGGCTATGCATGTCGGCCAGGTATTCTTCCACCCTTCAGGAAAACAAGGTACCATCTCAACGAGTTCTCTGGTAGGAACTTTCCTAGGACTGCACAGCGGCTGCTTAATTTCAGACACTCCAGCCTTAGAGTAACTGTTGAGAGGGCATTTGGAGCTCTGAAGAATAGGTTTAAGATCCTGGATCAGAAGCCATTCCATCCATACTCCACTCAAGTTAAGCTAGTTCTTGCTTGTTGCATTCTGCATAACTGGATCCTCCAGTGGGGCTTTGATGAACACGTGCCTGAGGAGGAAGAGGTCAAGCCTGACGATGTTGTTAGCTCTGGCCATGGTGTGGAGGCGTTTGACAATGACGGTTGTAAGAACAAAAGGTTGGAGTGGGAGAGGCAATGTGGCTTAACAGAAGTCAGTGCAGGATTTGAAGAAGAGGAAGAAGAAACAGCAGCAGCAGAAGCATAGAAGAAGAGGAAGAAGAAGCAGCGGCAGCAACAACAGAAGCAGAAGAGGAAGATGAAGCAGCAACACCGATGAACTATCCCCTATTTAGCCAATGACTCTTAATAATTTGATCTGTCATTTGATTGTAGTTAGGATAAACTATCATTTGTTTAACTAGCTGGCACTATATTCAGATTGTGTGTGGTAAGGTCACCACTAGATAGAAGTGGTGACAACACTTTATGCAGGTTGCAACCAAACACCATGTCATATGTGCACCTAATGCAATGCGGGCAACCAAACGCTAGGTCAAAAATGTTTGTCTCGTGCAACTAGGAGCATGCAGGCAACCAAACTATGTGCATCTAAGTTTTTTTGGCCTGCATCCCCTCAAACCGGCTCAATAGAGCCAGGATCGCCGGGCCAGGCTAAATCGGCAATGTAACCAAACACGCCCCTACTGCATCTGCATCCAAACACGCCCCTACTGCATCTGCATGTCAAAACTTTCCGTCAAAGTATCTGCTCTTCACCTGCTTTTAGTTACCACAAGGCCCACAACTCCCATTTTCAGTAATTTTGGGGCACCCACAATTTCTGCTGAACAAGACCATAACTCCACAACTGTACAACGATGTTATAGCCATGTGTACGCAGTAACCTACTCCCTCCGTCCTATAATATAAGAGCGTTTTTTATACTAGTGTAGTATAAAAGACGCTCTTATATTATGGGACGGAGGAGTATTTGCTAACTATATTAATTTCCTAGTAACTACAAACTGATCAATATAAACGCCATACATAAGCAGTTAAAATGACTCAAAGGAAGGGGGATAAAATGTTGTTGCGGAGTGGATCCGACAAGTGCTCGACGAGGTTCTGCACAGGGCCCTTGCCGGTTACAGCCGCCTGGGCGTAGAATCCGATCCATGCAACCATTGCCAGACGACCATTCTTGATCTCCTTCACCTTGAGTTCTTCAAACGCAACAGGGTCTTTGGACAGCCCCAAGGGGTCGAACAGTGCTCCACCTGGGTAGTTTATGTCCCCAGGAAGATATATTCCCAAGGGTTCTAGCGCCTCGATCCCACAATATCTCGCATATTCTGGCCCAACCTGGCAAATATGACATGGAGATATTTGTCTAATGTGGTATGCAACCATTAAAAGTAAGAAATGACAAGGGAATGATGTACCAATGAATAATCTTGTGGGTTTAAAGAATTACTCCCTCCGTAAAGAAATATGAGAGCGTTTAGATCACTAAAGTAGTATATGTGGAGAGTGATCTAAACGCTCTTATATTTCTTTACAGAGGGAGTATATGTGGAGAGTTGTCTACAATTCTGAAGTGTTTGCACAAAACTTACAAAGAAAACACACAAAGACATGAATGTTTAGACTGCTCTACATCAATTACTCGAAAAGTATAGGACCGAAACATGATATACATAGCATTTTTATTACCATCAAAAGGGCTTGACAGATAGCAATGACGATGATGCCTTGACCACCAGCAATTCGGAACCCAGGAATCCCAAGGTAATCAAGAGTATCACCCTGTGAAACCAACTCGTTAGCTAAAGCCATAAATTTACATAATTTGTAATACAATTTGCCCATTTCACAGCGTCTATGTACGTAGCAGATAGGTGGCAGGTACATCTCATGTCTATTCTATCTCAGGCAAAGAAAAAGGCTGAGCTAAACCATGTGGAGGCTCCTAACTTTGTGTGGCACCGGCATTGACAACAGGCCTTGCTACGACACCTTCCGGCTGCGGGACTTGTACAAAAATGAAGATACTCTATGCCTCCATTAGAGTTAGCTAAGAACTACGTTTTCAGATGCTGAACAACAAGATACACCGTGGTTGTAGCATGACAGGAACTATGATCTTGAGAGCTCTTCAGATAGACATATCTTCTTCAGGTCTGTAGCAGGAACAGTCATATTGTGTGCTAAATGAACTCAAACATGGTTGATATTGATATTTCACCTGAAGTTTTGCATAACCAACTTTCCACCACACAGGCTCCACAAAATGCACTATCCCAAATAGATCTAACAGCTCAGGAACAACAACACCAAGAGCAGCAAGCATGGCCCATCGACAATGTAAAATCTCAAAGCTGCAATGAAGATTGTTGGTGAGATAAGATACTGGTAGTTCAGCTTCACAAAAAGAAACATGTTACCATTGAAATATACACAACAGTTTAACCGGAAAGAGGAGACTTGAATGTCACTCAAGCAAACCTATTATCATTCATCGCAGATAAGCCATGCAGAGGCCGGGGGTAATCCTCCTTTTCTAAAAATAAAATAAAATCGCAGATAAGCCTACTATGCAGCTTCTGTGGTGAGGACCTCCATTTTAGTCTACAAGGAATATGAGCAAGCTGGAGCACAAAGCTACATTTTTAGTATTCCATCTGAAATGACAGAGTTACTCCCGCAGGAAAAACTTTCAATGATCTCCTCATGCATTTTCTGTAGTGTAGAATACATCAGAAATATACAACATAAATATTTTTTAGTTACTCCAAAGAGGCTTCTAAGCTTAGGGCATAATGTTTGCTGCGAGAAGCGCGGAAGATATTGCCAGGTAACCCGTATGTAAGGAGGCGCAAGATTGTCTGACATAATTTTGTTTCTTTCCTTTGCATCTCTGTCGCTTCTATTTTTTCTGCCACTGCCCTTGGTCAGTGTTTGATACTTCTTTATGTTTTTATTAAGGTAAAGAACAGGGCATGATCAAAGCAAGTACTACCTCCATTCCTAAATATAAGACGTCGCGGCAGTTTAAATATAAGACGGCGGGGCAGTTTAATACTTTAATTTAAACTGCCGCGCTGTCTTATATTTAGGAATGGAGGTAGTATATGATTTCTTTTTTCAGTTTAAGCCATTGTTTCCACTCGCTGGCCAGGCCTAAACATCAAGATTAGAACTGGCATTTTGCCCATCTTACATGTTTTACTTTCATCTGATCACCGTTACGCCAAATTCTGTAGGGCCAAAGCATATCGTCGCCATTCGATTCAACACGGAGCAATCTCCCACGAAGCTAGGAAAATGAAAGGCTTGCAGCAAGATAATTATCTGAATACACAAAACTAGTGATAGGCCTAAAGAAAGCTGAAATACAGGTTACCTGGCATATCATCAAGACGGTAAAGTAAAACGGGGCATATTACCATAAACAAAGTAAAAACATATTATCAACTGCCAAAGTAAAATGGGGCACATGATCAAATCCCCAGTTTATGAGCAGTAGTGTTCGGAGATTTGATCATACGCCCCCTAAGTGCCTAACAACTATCGGAAGAGCAGGCACAATTAGTTGATCTGCAAAATATAATCAGGCACTAAGCAGTAACTATTCATCAAACACTAGTGCTCATAAACTATAAAGTGATTCAGCTGTAACTTGCAAGGCGTATAAAAATGCAACGTAGTTGTACCGTGATTGAAAAGTATTAAGAAGAACAACCAGTGGGCAGTGGGTGACATACTTGAAGTAGTTGGCGAAAGCAACGGGGTCCCGGCCCAGACCTGCTATATCGAACCCGTAATCGCCGGGGAACTCTCCGGCCAGGTGCTCCGGGTAGTCGTACCGGAGAGGACCGAGCCACCGCGGTCGAGCTCCCCCGTACCAAAAGCTTCAAACATAAGTTCCCCAAGCAAACCGGGAGGTCAGTGCAGTTCATTCGCACAAACTAACGGAGAATTGACGAGAACATACATAAGCATACAATATCCACGGCTTGGCTTTTGTAAGGAGGCGATAGTGCCTACCTGGAGCTGCGAGCCTCGCGGGCGGCGGCGCGGAGGGCGTCTGCCTCGGCGGCGGCGAAGGCCTTCCTGGACTCGAGGCGGCGCCGGAGGCTGGCGCCGAGGGGGCTGTTGGCGATGGCCTTGACGGCGGTGAAGGGGACGGCGGAGAACACCAGCACGCCCGCCAGCTCCTGCCACGACGCACGCACACGTATGCTTTTCCGCCGCCGGCAGAGGACACCGGAGGACGGCGGCGCTGGGGAGCGGAGAAGGAGGGGAGGCATCGTGCGGGCGGCCCTGCCTGTCGGCGTCGACCAGGCAGTGGAATGAAATGCTCGAGGAAGGAACCGTGGACGTGGCACGCTGCAGGTCACGAGCTACTGAGATTTTCGAAGGCAGGGGAGGGACAACACCAGCCACCTCCCTGGCCATTGGATCCGGCCTGAGGGCACCATTCAGAACCGTCTGATCGTTGCAGCAGGAAATCCTTTAAAAACAGCATACGTTTGCAGCATGATCACATCTTCTTTTTCTCACGTTATTGTGCCACACATGTTGCAGTATTTCAAACACAACAGTGCAACAAATCACCGACTGGAACGCCGCAAAAAACATGACACTGCAGCATATCGTCCGTCGTAATCGCATCAGAACACACGCGAGCATGTAAGGTCAAACTCAAATGACCATGCTGACCATGAGCTGGAGATCCTCTGCTTCGCTTCAATCTTTTAGGGTAATAAGGTCAAACTCAAATGAATTTCCGCTTCCAGACACCGGACATTTATCGAAGGTTTTATCGAAGGTGGATGTAATGAAAAAACAAAGGATGGGATGAAATCTAGCATCACACCAACAAATCAACCAATGCATAAAGCGGTTGATTTGTTTATGCACCAAGCAAATTATACAGTCTGATTCATGGAAACTAGGATTTTGTCAGAGAAAATACATTGACTGAGGTATTTCACATATTGTAATAAAATAGTTATAGTGCCTGCATCCTAGCAAGGAAAAACATAATATAAAACCATTAAGACAATACTCCCTCTGGAAATCAAAAAAGTCTTAAATTAAGTTACAGAGGTAGTATGAAATTAACTGGAAGAATGTGTTTTTCTGTGCGTTTGCTCAGCTGAACTGTATAGCCGAAAGGAACGGTGCAGTGCACATCTGTGAATCCTCATAAAAAGGTGTAGCAATTCTAACATCGTGTGACACAGGGAACAAACTTCGTTGCTTTGTTTTACATGATATAAAAAGCATCCGCAGGTGACTATTCCTTTTTGTATCACAGTAACTCAATTACAGTTGCGGGCAGTTCAGACTTGGCAACCCAAACAGTCAGCCATGTCTTATTTTTTATGTTTTACTTCAAACAGCAAGGCTATAACTGAACTTGATACAAGGATTGAATTTAAACTTTGCAAGAACTGTGTTGTGCTGGAAAAGTAAATTAGTATCTACAACCTAACTCTAAGCTCAAGTTTCAACAACACAATTTTTCACGCAAAAGCTACAATAAAAGGCATGCTGCAACATACAGTAGAAAGAAAGAAACAAGGCACTACCTGCCATGCAAGGTTGATCAAGTGCCATACTGACACCTCTTCTACTGCTTCTTTGACTGATGCAACAACGAAAGATAACTTAACTGGCTGGATTAAACCACTCCTTGTGCATCTGCTTCTTCCATGAATTCCTAGTCTGTTGATAATTTCTGATGAATCATTGTCACTGCTCCATTTTTTGAAAGGGGTATCGGAATCTTCCGTTTGTTGGCCCAGGTAAGATGGCTGAACTTTAACTGGCTAGATTTTCATTTTTGATATAACTGAGTGCTCCTTGTGGATATGAAAAGTGATGAACAGAATTTAAATGTACCATGGTCTATTTTGTAGAGACCAATTTAAGCAAACTTCAATGTATTAACAAAAATGGAAGGTGCAAATACCATGCAAGGGCATGGGCTGAATGGTCACATTCAATAGTTTGTTCTTTTAACAGGAAATGTCAAGTTATTAAAAAACTAACAGTATGAAGCAATAAGTCCATAACATGCTAGGGAACCATTCAAATCATGATGGCATAAAGGCACATGAACAACAGCCACCAATTACCCCCACCATTGCAGAAACTACTAGAAATAACTCCTACAAAGCAGCAAATGACTAACGAGCTTACCATACCTACATCATATGTGTGGTGTATGATATCTACTTTCCTCGGAAATTTGTAATCAGATTTCGGCTATCCATCTACTGAGTACTGACAACCACCTGTTGTATCTGATCAGCAACAATCCTTGCCACAACCTCTGGCGAAAACCTCTCGACCATGTCTTCCCTTGCCTTCCTCCCTTTTCTCCTTGCCTCCTCTTGATCACCAAAGACGCGCCTCATCAAAGCTCTCAGATGATCAACTGATGGCTCAGCGCAGAAATGGCCCTTGAATGGCCCTTCTGTGACCTCAGTCAGCCTGTCCACGTCCAGTGGGTATCCATTCTCTTGAGTCAGGTACTCCGTTGGGCCTGACCAATTCGTCACAATCACTGGCAGTTCCATGGCCATGGCTTCGACCACCGGCCTGCCCCACCCCTCGCCACGGGAAGGTAGCACAAACGCATCTGCAGCCTTGTACAACCTTGGAAGGTCGGACTGTGGGACATGCTCATCAACCACCCGGACTTCTGCCCATCCTAGCACTGGCTCCTCAATGCTGGAGTTGTTCACAAATCTGTGGATTTTTCCTCCAAAATCTGTGTCAGAGTGGTAGGCATTGGTCAGTAGGTAGAGTACAACATCATCAGCTCCAGAGAACTCCTGCAGAAAGGCTGTCAGAAGCACATCCCAGCCCTTCCTCTGCTCCCATTTGAACACGCTAAGAAACACAAAACCTTTGCCTTTGGAGCTATCAGTATTCCGTGTAGAATCATCAGGCGCCATGACAGAGAAACTAATCGGAAGAGGAAAGGCGACGTGCTTGGCCGGATCAAAGAATGTGACATCGACGGCCTGCACTACCTTGACGACCTTGGAGGGATCGACCCCGCTCTTCACGAATGTGGAGACGTGGAAATCTGTCGGTACCCAGACAGCATCCATCTGGTTACAGCGTCTGACATGCTCCGGCGTGACACGGTCAGTCTCGAACATAGTCCGGCCAATGACGAACGCCGGCTCGTCGTACCCGGTAGGTGGGCAAGGCAGAGACTCGTACATCGGCGGGTACCACGCGCCAGGCTCGCTGTGGCACACAACGACGGCCCGAGAGAGCTCACACCGCGCAGTGGCGAGCCTGTACGCCAAGTTCTTGGACTGCTCG